GTCCCTCAAGCACCCTGTCCCGGTGCACTCCCACCCTGGTGCACCCCCACCCTGATGTACCCCCACCCTGGAGTACCCCATGCCTGAAGCACCCTCTCCCCAGAACACCCCATCCCGCTGCACCCCCTCCCTGGAGCACCCCATTCCTGAAGCACCCCCTCCTCAGTGCACCCCCCTCCCCAGAGCACCCTGTCCCAGAGCAGCCCCTCCCCTCCCCAGCACCCATCACGGGCACCCACCAGGCAGTCGGGGGGTGGCGTGGATGTCCTGGAGCTGGTGGGTGCGTCCCCCCCTGGGGCTCAGGGCTGTAGGGACAGGGTGATGTCCCCCAGCAGGGACTGTCCCCAAGGGTGGGCTGGGGTGGGGACCCTGGGGGACAGGCGGAGGGGGCCAAGTGTGGTGTCACTGCATGGCCTCAGTGTCACGGGTGTCACTGTCCTGGCGTGGTTCCTGGGATGTGGCATGGTGTCACTGTCACTGCACAGCCCCTGGGGTGGCACACACTGTCACCATGACTGCACTGTCCCACTCGTGTCGCGCAGTGCTGCCCTGCACAGCGCCACTGTTGCTCCCTGGGGTGTCACAGGGTGTGACTGTCAGCGCACAGCGCACAGGGTGTCACTGTCACCGCGGGGCTGCTGGCTGCCACGCAGCGTCACTGCAGCTCCCGTGGGTTGTCATACAGAGTCATCATCAGTGCCCAGTGCATGGGATGTCACCCAGTGCTATGTCACTGCATGGCCCATGGGGTGTCACCCGGTGTCACCGTCACTGCCGTCCTGCAGTATATCACCCAGTGTCGCTGTCACTGCATGGCCTGGGGTGTCGCGGACCATCACCGTGCAGGATACCTCGCAGTGCATGTCCCATGGGCTGTCACCCAGCACCACCGTGCATCCTTGGCTGTGTCACACCCCATCCCCACCGGCCACGGGACACCCTGGGGACAGCACAGCAGCTCCCAGCAGCCCAAGTCCCCACTACCCAACATCCCCCTGGGGGGAACTCTTCCCCGAGCCCGTCCCCTTTGCCCACCCATTCCCACAGCCGGCTCCAGCTGCCAGGCGAGCAGCCATTTCCCATTACTCACCAGCCAGGCTCTAATTAAGTGGCGGTGTTCACAGCCCTTAATTGCCACACGGCGGGAGGGTGGTGACCCCCGCTGCGTCTGTAATGAGAGGCAGCGGGACAGGGACAGGGACGGGGGGATGTGCCTCCTGCCCCTTGCCCCCCCGCCCGCGGCTGGGCTCACCCCATCGGGCAAGGGACAGTGCCCAGTGTTGGGCTGGGACATGCTGGCATGTCCCCGGGGCCAGGGCTAACCCAGTTGGGCCAGCTAGCCCATCAGCCCACTGCCAGCCAGGCAGCAAGCGCTCTGGGTCATCTGGCCAGCCACAAGCCAACTGGCTAACTGGCCACCCAGCCAGCCAGCCAGCCAA